GGGATATAGGTGAATGACCATTTTGTATCTGTGTATTCAGAATGACTAGGATAGATATATAGCTACATTCTCTTAATTCAGTGAATAGAGGCATTTGTTCTAATAGTGTTTGTAAATAGGATATCATGTCTGCATCTTGTACAACAAATAACCACTAGGAAGGCAGTATACAATGTGTTAATTATTGGAACTGTCCTACCAAGTTGATTTGAAACTGTCTCATTGCTATTTATTTCTCAATAAAACTATGGAAAAAATAAATAAAATGGATTTATAACTACAAAAAATGTGAGGTGGGTGATTGCAGCTTAATCAAATTGTTTTTTTCCCCTTTCATGTAGGACACCAGTGCCAAATAAAATTCCTTTTACCAAAACAAGGGTGATGAAATCTCACACATTTTAATGATATTACTCCTTTAAATTAGTATCATGTGTCTTTATTAATGTGATTCATAACCAACACATGGAAAAGAATCTCTAAAGTACCTAAAGTACATTTTGGATTCAGTAATAGAATATACAGCTCAGCAAAGCCTGTAATTCCAGCTAATTGGTAAAATGAGCCAGGAAGGTAGTAAGTTGGAGGCCAGCTTGGTTAATATAGTGAGATCTCCGTCTTACAAAATGAAAAAAATAATGTGTTTTCCTAGCCAGGTGTAGTGGTGCACGTCCCTTAATCCCAGCACTTGGGAGGCTGAGGCAGGGGATGTCTGCCAGTTGTAGGCCAGCCTGGGCTGCATAGTGAGTTCAAGGCCAGCCTGAACTGCATGGTGAAAACAAAATAAAAATACCTGTTTTCCCCTCATAAGCACAATTTAGATAATGAGTTTATTTGAGGAAAACTAAGATAATTAACCTTATTTCTTGATCTGGAGGGAAAACAAACAAACAAACAAACAACCGTAATTTATAAAATAGGACCTATAGATGGCTAAGACTCTAGTACTCTGGACCAGAAGGGGGCAGCCGCTTTGCATGCCAGGATTTGTAGTCCTCGAAAGAGCCTCTTTAAAATGGCGGAGTTGCTAATAACTCGTAAAGGGGTGGGCCGCGAGGGAGTAAGGTCCGCGAGGGTATTGGGCGGTTCGGGGACTCGGCAGGCGGGAAGTAAAGAGGAAGCGTTGAAGCCCTCCCCGAAAGAGAAGCCGCGCGCCACGGAGTCTCGCGAGATCTCGGGGGCCCAATGGAACGCAGGCCCCGGCTTATCACTAGGGGCATTTGTTGGGGGTGGAGTTCCGACGGGAGCTGCCCGGGAGTCATAGGTGCCCAGCGTAGCAGGGTTGAGACTGAACAGCTGAGAGGGACGTACCCGTAGCCATGAAGGAAGAGAAGGAGCACAGGCCTAAGGAGAAGCGAGTAACCTTGTTAACGCCCCCGGGCGCCTCTGCCAGTAGCTGTGGGACTTCGGGGGACAGCGCGAAAGGGGAAGATAAGCAGGACCGCAACAAGGAGAAGAAAGAGGCGCTGAGCAAGGTGCCCGGCCGGCGGTTGGCCCGGGAGAGGGTGGGACGGGGCCGCCGCTGGTGGAGGATAGCTGGAAATGGGGCTGCGCTCTTCCTGTCCCGAGTTCCCCTTATGACTTCGCCTGAATGAAAATCACCTCATCTTGCCTCGTACTTTGGTGTAAAACGGGGAAACCCCCAAGCCCCCGCCTTCTCGGGAGCGAGGCAGAGGGAGCGGTTGGGTGGAGGTCCACAGACGGGAGCGGTCCGCTTCGAGCTGTGAAGATGGTAATAGGAGGGGGGACGTCGGAAGAGGAATAAAGAATTACGTCTAATGGGGACAGTTAGTGCGCAATGAAGGGCACACCACGGGCGGGAGCAGTTGGTGGTAGTGCTGTAGTACTAATGGAGGCGTGGAGGGGTCTGGCAAGGCAGGTGAACAGCAAGCCTATTTTGAGAGCGTCGGGTGGATTTGTGTGAGCAGGCGCGCGCGTGTGTATGTAGTTTTGAAGTCTTTAAACTGAATAGGCAAAGATTTGGTTTTAGGTTTGTTCAATGTGGGTGAGATATGCTACAAAATTAAGATTTTTAATGGCCGGGCGTGGTGGTGCACACTTGTAATCCCAGCACTTAAGACATTCGGACGGCTGAGGCAAGAGAATCGTTGCCAGTTGGAGACCAACTTGGGCTAGAAAGCGAGTTTAACGCCAACCTGAGTTGCACAGCCAGACCCTGTCTCAAAAAGACCAAAAGAGGGGCTGGTGAGATGGCTCAGTGGTCTAAGGCACCTACTTAGAACAAGTTTAGCAAAGCACAGGGACCGCGGTTCAATCCCCCAGCACTACATGCCAGCCAGCCCCGCCCCCTGGTGGGCTGAGCTGGACACACACACACACACACACACACACACACACACAAATAAATAAATAAATAAAAAAGAACAAACAAAAAAAAATGGCACCCACGAAAAACCAGGGTTAGCCTGCTAGTTTGCCGCTAGATGTGTTTAAAATTGGGGAGTAGAAAAAAAAATGAGTAGACAGTGTTTCATAAACCGGGTGGTCAGCATGTCAAGAGCAGACCCTGAGATTTCCTTGTTCCAGGCAGTTGCCATTTCCAAGAGTTTTAAACACCACGCCAAAGCCAGTCTTCAGAAACTGATTGCTTGATGGGACAGAGAATTGCTTTGTACTAATTTTATTTTCCTTATTTATTTCATAAGGTGGTAATTCGAAGATTACCTCCTACTCTGACCAAGGAGCAGCTTCAGGAACATCTTCAACCTATGCCTGAGCATGATTATTTTGAGTTTTTTTCTAATGACACTAGGTAAAAAGAAAAGAAAAAGGGGGCGGGGTAAATGAAGCAACTATCTTTTTATCTTGCATATGTTTTCCATTTGATTTTTTGAGACTATCTTTAATATATGAATACTTGTAGCTCAGCCAGACACCTGTGAATGTTTACATAATTGCTTTCCTCTCTGCAGTCTGTATCCTCATATGTATGCCAGAGCATATATCAACTTTAAAAACCAGGAGGACATTATTTTGTTCAGGGATCGATTTGATGGTTATGTATTCCTTGACAATAAAGGTGAGTCTTTGTAATTGAACTAAATGGGGAGTTTGTCATTTTTAAGACAATATGTTCATCACAATGTTTTCTCCATGCTTTTCTAAAATCCTTAAAGAGTTTTACACATTTGATAAGCTTATTGCAGTTTTATACATTGATATATGCCTTTTCATAGCTGTGGAATAATCTGTTGAACCGAATGAAATTTTAGGGCTGGGAAGATAGCTCAGTGGCATAAGCACCTGCCTGAATGAAATTGCCACTGCTCTTGTATGACCATTTTTTGGCTGGAGATTAGATCTGCTCTGAAATGGAACCGTTCCCATTTCAGCAGCAATACTGATAAATGACGCTTTAAACTTGTATGACAAGTTTTAAATATTTACTTTTTATCCTGAGTCAAAAGCCACCATTTATTTGATTCTTATCCATTAAGCCAACCAGCTAGAATACTGTATAACATTCTCATAAAGTTGTGTATAATTAAAACATCAAACTTGATCTCTAAACTATCTAAGAGGGTCCAGTCTCCAGGGAAGACAAATTTCTGCCTTAACTCAGTTTTTACCTAATATCTTCTACTTGCAACATTTAGCCAAAGAATGTCCAAGCTACTATTTGCCATTGTTTTGTAATCATAGTTAAATTACATGGAGTTTTTTATAGGCTTTTTCTCAGTGTTACTTCATTTTGGTTATAAAATTAAATCTTTGTCAGAATATGCCAGTAAAAACTGAACAATTGTCACCTATGTTTCTCCAACTTTGTGTGTGTGTAGATCGGGGTTTTTTTTTGGGGGGGAAGGGTGTGTTTCTCCAACTTTGTGTGTGTGTATTTTTTTTTTGGGGGGGGGGGTTTCTGTGTATGCTGGAGATCAAACCTTTTGCGTGCTATAATTGAGTCTACTACTGAGCTGCACCCCTATCGTGTCCAGCTTTTCTTCCCCAAACCAGCTAGTTTTCACCCCATATTTTTTTATCTTAGTAAATAACAATGGTGTTTGTTTCAGACAGGGTCTTGCTGTTTAGTTCAGGCTGGCCTTGAAGTCACTGTGTAGCCCTGACTGGCCTCGAACTTACTGCAGTCCTCCTGCCTCAGTCTCTTAAATGCAAGTTATGAATCCTGCCACTTTGTTGTTTTTTGGTCTTATTCAACTAAACCAACACCTTTATGCTTTATGGCTTCATCTGTGAAGCACTTCTTTAAAGTTAGAGGATTTTTTAAAAATTTCCATAAAATTAATCTTTTTGAAAAGGTGATTTAAGTTAATAGTTGTGAACAAAGTGCAAACTCAGCCTAGTAGGCAGGATCCTCCATAGTCCAGCTTCACTTTCTGTGTTTTCAGCTTGTCCCTCTGCTGCTTCCCCCTTTTAAAGCTGGTTTATCTAATTCATCGCTTTTGACATGTCTCAGTTATTAAGCTAATCTTATGTTCATTCATTAGGATTTCTTTTTTTTCTTTTTTGGTGGTACCAGGATTGAACTCAGGACCTTGCACTCACTAGGCAAGCACTTATTCCACTGAGCCATCTCCCCAGCCCCCATCATTAGGACTTCTAAAGCTGTGTTTGCTACATGACTTTTTGTGATGCATTTTGGTCAGTTCTACGGAGTTTATTCTGGTTTCAGTCTATAGATCAATGATCAAAGAGTACTTCATACCTTCTATGACATTTTGCTATGGCAAGAATCTGGTATTATACATTTTACTAATAAGTCATTTTAGGGGCCAGTGAGTTAGCTCAGCTGTCTAAAGTGCCTGTGTAGGCGAGCTTAGGCTCAAGGGACCACAGTTCGATTCCCAGCACCACATGCTGCGCCAGCCCCACCCTCAGGGTAGGCTGAGCTGACCCAAAAAAAAAAGAAAAAGAAAAACTAATAAGTCATTTTTTTAAATTGAGATTCAACATACTATAAAATTCACACACTTGTAAGCACTTCAGGCACATGCCTGTAATCCCAGCACTGAGGGGCTGAGCCAGGAAGATTCCTACATTTACTCACAGCCTGGGTAATTTAGCAGTTTAAGGAGATCCAATTTCAAAAGTAAGAAATTTTTTAAAGGCTGGGGTATAGCTCAGTGGGAAAGCCCTGGGTTCAATCCCCAGTAATACACACACACACACACACACACACACACACACACACACTCAGTGTTTTTTTAGGATATTCACAAAATTGTGCAACCACCACTATTCCAGAACATTTTCATTACCTCATCTCTATTAGTACTCAACATCTATTTAGTCTCTTGATTTGTCTATTCTAGGTACTTCATATAATCAGAATCATAATATGTGGCTTTCTGCAACTAGCTTTTACTTAAAAGCTTCTTATGCTTACAAAAATCTTCCATGTAGCATGTATCACTAAAAAACTAAAATTTTGCATTTTAGAAATTCTGGCAAAATACATATAACACCATCCTAAGCATTGTTAACTATACAGCTCAGTAGTGTTAGATACATCATTGTTATGCAGCCAACATTTAGAACCTCCCTCTCACTAAACTGATACTAAACCCATGAAGCAACTCCTCATCTCTTCTTCCCCCACGTGGCCTGACATCATCGTTCTACTTTTTGTCTTTATGTATGTGACTACTGTGTAGATACCCCAGATAAAATCATATAGTATCTTTTTATTACTGACTTCATTGAGCACAATACTGTCAAGTTTCCTCTGCATTGTATCATGTTTCTGAATTTCCTTTTTAAATTTTTTTTTTTGTAGTACTGAGGATTGAATTCAGGGTCTTTGCACTGAGCTACATCCCTAGCCCTTTTTATTAATCTGGAGAAAGGGTCTTGATAAATTGCCCAGGCTGGGCTAGAATTTGTGATTCTTCTGCCTTAGTTTCCCATTGTGGTGGTATTAAAGGTATGTACCACCAGGCCCAGCAGAATGTCCATTTTTTAGTGCTAATATTGTTTGTTTATACCACATTTTGTTTGTCTATTGAAGGATACTTGGGTTGCTTTCCCTTTTTGGCTATATGTCTAGAAATGAAACTTCCATATGATTACTTATTAGCCCTTTGGATTAAACTCAGGCATTAAACTCAAACATGCTGGTGTTCTAACACTGGTCTACACACCTAGCCCCTGTCTTGTGTTTTGAGGAGCTGCCATACTGTTTTTCATAACAGCTGTGCCATTTTATGTTCTACCAAAAAGTAGACAAATGATCCAGTTTGTCCACATTCTCACCCAACACTTGTCTTCTTTGTTGTTGTTGCTGTTGTATTTTTCTTTGTTTTTGTTTTTTGAGACAGATTCTTGCTATGCAGTTCAGGCTGGCCTTGAATTCACTATGTAATCCACGGTGGCCTAGAACTTGTGGTGATACTCCTGCCTCAGCCTCCCAACAGCTGGTATTACAGGCACGTGCCACCATGCTTATCACATTTTAGAAGTTGAACTTAAATGAATATTGTACTTCCCTGTCACGTTTTTATTTTTGTATTTAGAGAAAAAAAATGTGCTCTGTCTCTCAGGCTGATCTCATATTCTTGGACTCAAGCAGTCCTGCCTCAGCCTCCTGAATTGTTGGGGCTATAGGCATATACTACCACACCCAATTTGCTGCCATATCTTTATGTGATCAGTGAACTTTGGGCTCCACTGCTAGGATGTTGATTATAGTTTTCCAGTGTGATTTCTGCCACTTGGGACACCCTCTTCAAATGACTGCTGTCTAAGCAGACGTAGAAAACAATGGATTGGTTCTCTTGTATCTACCTTGAACATTTCCTTTGTTATAGCAAGTATAGTTTTGCTTTGTTCTGTTTTGTTTTTTCTAAACAGGTCAGGAATATCCTGCTATAGTAGAATTTGCACCTTTTCAAAAAGCTGCAAAAAAGAAGACTAAGAAAAGAGACACTAAAGTTGGGACTATCGATGATGATCCAGAATATAGGAAATTTTTGGAGAGTTATGCCACAGATAACGCAAAAAAGAAGACTAAGAAAAGAGACACTAAAGTTGGGACTATCGATGATGGTACAGTATAGCTCTAGCTATATAATGATGTTGCCATTGGGTTTTTAAAAAGTAATGCCTTGGGAGAGTTAATTACAACCCAGTATCTTAAAATAGGAAATATAAAGAATAAAGTTAATAAGAAATGTTGTTCCATTGGAATCTTTGTATACTTGTTAGCATGAAAATGGGTTTCCTGGAGTTTCTGGACTCTTTCACTAGTAGTATTTTATTTCTCTTCTGTTGAGCAATATAGTGTACACTACTGAGTAATAAATCACCATGGAAAAATCTGTTCTATATGTATTGTTGTATGTTAAAAAAAATTCCAAGTTTCAAAAAAAAAATTCCAAGTTTCAAATAAATAAATCACCATGGATTTGTTACATAGAAGATAGTAGGAAAAATAAGTTGTTTCAAAGTATAACAATTGCTCTTTGAAGCTTAACATTGTTACAATTGTTTGATTCTGAGTTTCCATTATCTTTATAATGAGGACGGTTTGAGCTCTGATGGGAGCCTATCCATAATTAAGTAGCTTCCAAACCAGTTGAAGTGGTCAGTCCTGTTTTCTAGGCTTTGAATATGTAGATTGCTACATACATAGTAACTATGTTGAACAGAAATACTGGAACTAGGGCCTGCCAGATAGCTCAGTGGACTAAAGCACCTACTTAGGTAGGCTCAGGGATCCATCTTTGGAATGCAGCATGTAGCATGCCAAGCCAGCCCACTTCTGAGGCATGCTGAGATATTTAGGTGAGACTGGGCATGGTGGCGCTCACCTGTAATCCCAGCACTTGGGATGCTGGAAACAGGAAAATCACTATGAGTCTGATCTGTGTAGTGAGGCCCTGTAGACCTTGTACTAAATACATTAAAAAAGAAATACTGGAACTAAAAAACTGAATTATAAATGCCATGTAAGATAAACCAGCTTCAGATTTTGAAATCTCTAATATTCTGTTGGACAACTTGCGTAACTCTTGTTATGTTGGATAAGGACTTAGCTCCAATATTTTATATTAGAGATTGATGTTTTAGAATTTTCTAGTTTGAATTTCCATCATTTGTTACTATCACATTTTATTAACCAATAAAGAATAACACAGCTATGCTCGCTTCAGCAACACATATACTAAAATTGGAACCTTACAGAGATTAGCATGGCCCCTGTGCAAAGAATAACACAGCTGTTAATGATATCACAAGTTTAGATATGGAAGAGAGATTAAGTGACATGCTCAGCAGTGTGTAGAAATAAGGAATGTGATGACTCAGATGTGTTTCCTTTTTTGGTCTCAAAGGTATAGGAGAGAACTCCAGAAATTACCATTACCGCCGGGCATGGTAGCGCACGCCTGTAATCCCAGCACTCGGGAGGCTGAGGCAGGAGGATCACTGCTAGTTTGAGGCCAGCCTGAACTGCACAGTGAGACCCTGTCTCAAAAAGACAACACTAACAAAAAAAAAATGCAACCAGAAATTACCATCGCCTCCAGAGCTAGATCTAGAACTTACTTCAGTTTATCTTTTGGAACACTTGATTTTCTTATGTTGAGTTTACTTAAAGTGAGGTATACCTGTGCAAGATATGCTTACATGTTATGCTAATGTTCTCTGAAGGTGCTATAGTTACAAGTTCCAGTTTTGATGTTAGTAAAGACGTGCCTTTTGGGCCAGCCAGATAGCTCAGCTGGTTAAAGCGCCTGCTTAGGTAGGCACAGGGACCAGGGTTTGATCCCCTTTGTGCTGTGCTGGCCCCGCCCCCAGGGCGATTGAGACTGGGCCTGGTGGTGTGCACCTGTAATCCCAGCTCTTGGGATGCTGAAAACAGGTGGATCACTATGAGTCTGATCTGTGTAGTGAAACCCTGTAGACCCTGTACTAAATAAAGAAAAAAACATTTAAACTGCCTTTTGACCATAAACTGTGTAAAATCTCTTCTGGGTCTGTTCTTTTGTGTGATGTTTCTTTTATCCTGACTCCCACGTTAACTAGATTCCCATAGAGGGTATCATTAATAGGAATTCCAAGAGCAAATGACTAAATGCTAGTGTACTTTGTGCATTTGGTTTGTTTTCTAGTTTTCCATGAAGTAAACAATTATCTTCTTTGATAAATAAGTATCCTAGATAATATTTCCTTTGTAGTTTGAAATCTTTGTGTTCTGGTTCCTTAAACAATTATATAGATCCAGAATATAGGAAATTTTTGGAGAGTTATGCCACAGATAACGAGAAAATGACATCTACTCCAGAGACACTGTTAGAAGAAATAGAAGCTAAAAATAGAGAATTAATAGGTAAGTGTGCAAAAGGAATTAGAGCAGTGGCTTTTTCATTGGAATCCTTAAATCCCTCTCTCGGTTTTGTTACTTATTGGCTGTGTGACACTAGAATGTCACTCCCTGAGATTGTTATTTCACTAGAAAATGCAGGTGATAATACCTGCTTCACAGGAAATAATTCCTGTGGAGGATCACTACAAATCTGATCTGTGTAATGAGACCCTGTTGATCCTGTACTAAAATACATAAAAATATATAAAATAAAAAAATGAAACAATGTTTTTGTACTTCTTACTGAGTGCATTGATAAAGATGGGACAAATTGTCAATGACCTTTGTGTCACACAAATGTAATACAAGTAAGTACTAAAAATTTTAAAGATAAAGCATGCTTAGACAGTGGCCTTTGAAGATCAATTATTTCCTAGTAAGTTAATATTTTAAAAATTGATGTGAAAATATCAAAAAGTCAAAAAAAATTTTTTAAATATCAAAAAGTCAAATTAGTTTCTGCAAAATTAAAAACTTAAGAAATGGTAGAGTGGAAGCTAAATAGTCTTGTCACTAGTCTGTCAGCTCTTTGACCAAGGATTTCCACCCCTAGGAATTTACCCAAAGGATGTATATGTTCAAAAAAGGTGGTTATCAGAAAAAGGTGATTATGAGGCTAATAGCATTGCTCAGAATGTTAAAAAGTGAACTTAAAATATTTTTCTAAAACTTTATATTTGTTAATGGGTGCATAAAACCCTGTAGATAGTTAGGTAGGTAGCTTCCTTAGAGTAAATTCCCAGAAGTAGAAAGATGAAATCAAAAAGAATGGATATTTGTAGTCCTTTACTCTAGTTTCTTTCCAATTAAATATAAATTTATACTCCTGTCAATAAAACAAGAGAAGGGCCAGCCAGATAGCTCAGTGGATTAAAGCACCTGCTTAGGCAAAAGCAGGGGGGTGGGGGTGGGGGTGGGGGGTTCAGGGACCCGTGGGGGGTGGGGGTGGGTTGGATCCCCATGTGCCTTGCTGACCTCACCTCTGGGGTATGCTGAGCCATGATTGAGACTGGGCATGGTGGTGCACACCTGTAACCCCAGCACTTTGGAGGCTGGAAATGGGAGGATCACTACGAGTCCAATCTGTGTAGTGAGACCCTGTGGACCCTGTACTAAATTACATAAAAATATATAGAATAAAAAAATAAAACAAGAATGTTTTTGTACTTCTTTCTAACTGAAAATTACTCTTAAATGTTTTATTTTAATCTGTTAAGTATTTTTCTTTCTCTTTTATTATATCTTTGTGATATGTAATAAATAAAATTATAGGAATTGCTACATACACATGTTGGATCTTTATCCTTAAAAATCATTTTGAAACTTGTGTTATAATGGAGTATTTTAAAGCTGCTTTTAGAACTTGCTATATAAAGAGGTGGCTTTTTTATCTTGGGTGGTGGCAGGGAATGTCAGAATACTGTGTAGGGCTTGATAAGTATTATTAATAATTTGTTTACATTTATGTAGCTAAGAAGACAACCCCGCTTTTGAGCTTCCTGAAAAACAAACAGGTAAATCTTTCAGTTTTATATTTCTTTCATTTTTTTAACTTTATTAGTTCACATTCTGTAAACATTTTAAGAGCAGTGGGACCCTGGAGGAGAAATAGTTGCTGTTCCCTATGATTATTCCATGATGGTAGGACTACTTTGTCTTACTCTGGTGCTCTCCTTCACTGTTTGTGGGACCAGGGGTTCACTGTGCAAACCTGGAGAGTCCTTCATTTGTTCCAGAGAAGCTGTTGATATTCAACCAATCTGTGGAAACATAGCAAGGCAGCAGTGGAATGCTTATTTTAGCAGATTTTTATTTTCATTTTCTCTTGTTTGTTGGGTGGGGCAAAGGTTAAGGAGTTTACAGAAAGGAAAGAGGGGGGCCGGGGAGATAGCTCAGTAGAATAAGCGCTTGCTTGGCAAGCGCAGGGTCCTGAGTTCAATCTCCAGTACCACAAAAAAAAAAAAAAAAGTAAAAGAGGGTACAATTTAGTGAGTGTTCACCATGCCTTTGGGATTGATTAGGTTTTTGGTGACAATTATTTTATTTGAAGGCTTATGTTGATATTTCTAGAGAATGAGAGAAGAGAAAAGGGAAGAAAGAAGGCGACGAGAAATAGAACGAAAAAGGCAAAGAGAAGAAGAGAGAAGAAAATGGAAAGAAGAAGAGAAACGTAAAAGAAAAGATATAGAAAAGCTGAAGAAGATAGACAGAGTTCCAGAAAGGGACAAATTAAAGGATGAACCAAAGATTAAGGTATGAATATAATTGAAACTGACTGCATGCTGTTGAAAACTGCATGTATCTTTTTATGCATGTATCCTATGTTTGTGTAAATGAAGTATGTTTTGTGTTTGGCCTTTTTGGGGAGTGTACAAATAAAAATATTCTGTTATACAGTGCTGATAGTTTAATATTTAAAAGGATTAACTACTTTACATGATGTTAACATTCTTTAGTGTAGATCTGTATTTTTTGAAAATGTTTGATGTTTGAATTACTAGTCTCTTAGTTCCTAGTAAATGAGGACTTAGGGCTGGCTGGCATGAATTTTGGGTTTATTCAGCTTTTTTCCTTCATAATTTGATACATAAAGTTGCCTCATCTGTTTGTTTTCCACTGTCTTCAGGTACACAGGTTTCTGTTACAAGCTGTGAATCAGAAAAATGTAAGGACCAAGTACATGATACAGAGAACCTAGTATCATGTCACACACAGGTCTTAGCTGATAAGTCCTTTCGGTGGTGGTGGTAGTGTTACCTGTTGAAAACCCCTTCAGGCTGATTTGGGTCTTCTTAAAAGCTGAGCTATTTAAAATTCCTCCTTTAAAAGGAAGCCAGGGGACTTCCTGATTCTCTGTTGTATACCCAGAAGCTGCAGCAACATGCAGCTAGAGCACAGCGAAGCCAATACAGCTTTTTCTCATCTTATTTGTCTCCCATAACTGGCTGCTTTGGGGAGGAGTAAAGATAAACATCCTGCATTATGTGCTTTTACCACTCACATGACTCCCACATTATCTCCTTAAATCTAGCGGGGAATCTGAACAGCAGATTCTGATTAGTGCATTGCATGTAGGGAAAGGAAACCTGCAGAAACATCTCAACCATGCTGTGCCCCTTCTGAGGGCATGGCTTGGGCAGCCCTTGGTCCAGTGAACCTTCTGAGGAAGTACTAATACCTAGTACTTCAGAAAGTCAAAGAACATCTCACGAAGATGGTGGCAGGTCACCTTCTTTTACCTCCTGAAAACACACCAGTTTATACGTCTAAGGCTCCCTATGTGTCTATGGGACTCTTTATTGGTGATAAGGAGTTTAGAGAAGCGTTTCTCATCTTAACTCCTTCCTGCAATCCATCATGCTGCAGTGATTTGGCTTGCTGTTCCCTAATGATCACAAGGCAGAAGGTAGAGCCAGCCATGTCAGACACATTCATTAATGTGCTTATTAGAGTAATGAACATCTTGGTTTCTAATACAGATGTTCGTTAGAGAAGTAAGAACACTTCCAATGAAACCTGCACCTGGTCTGTCACTTGACACTGGTGCCTTCCTCATATCCATATAGGACCGCCCCCCTCCATTTGCAGTGGCTGTCTGTGTGCTCAGGTACTTCATGCTTAAGTCTTGTGCTTTGCCTTTTGCTTGCTGACTGGTATGATGCCTTCACCCTGAGATCAACCTTGATGGTGCTTTCATTCAGAGATTCTTCTGTTTTGCATAAGAATCTCTGAATATGCAGCACTAAGTGGGGGACATTCTAAAGAGATAACAATGATGTGAGGAAGAATGGAGCATTCTTACTCAGTAGAGATGGAATTTCAGTATTGTGTTGTAAAAAGGCATCTGAATTTTTTTTTTTTTTTTGGTGGAACCGGGGATTGAACTCAGGCCCTTGCGCTTGCCAGGGAAGCGCTTATTCCACTGAGCCATCTCCCCGGCTCCGCATCTGAATTTTAAAATCAAATGCCAAGTAATTCTTGTTGTAGACCTTTATTGATAGCACAATGGTACTGTTATGTGCAAGCCTATAATCTCAGCACTTTGGCAGGCTAAGGTAGAAGGATCAGAAATTCAAGTCCCAACTAAACAATTTAGTGAGACCCTATCTCAGAAAATAAAAGGGACTTGGAATTAGCTCAGTGGTACAAAGCCCCTGGGTTCTATCCCCAGTACCACACACACACACACACACACACACACACACACACACACATACTCACACACGATTTTCAAGTTCTTGCACTGGATCATTGTTTTGGTAAATAAGGTGTTTGTTGTCACAGTACATAAACATAAAAATAGTCTAACAGGGGCCGGGGAGATGGCTCAGTAGAATAAGCACTTGCCTGGCAAGCGCAAGGGCCCGAGTTCAATCCCCGGTTCCACCAAAAAAAAAAAAAAAGTCTAACAACAAAGAAACAGTCCAGTAGTAGTGATTTGCTTAGTAGTTTTAATTTCTAGGCTATTTTCCCATCAAGTTATACTGACATGCTGTTTTGCTATGGAAGTCTACTTGAAAGTATATAATAGCTTGCTTAAAGGTTGACCATTCAAAGCCAGAGGGGTCTGTCCCAATTCCATTGCCACAAAGTGATTAAACCACTTCATTTGGGTGGATGACACTTTCACATTAATAAGAACCTTTTAGTAAATCACTATTCTCATGCACGAAGTTATTCACTTGGAATTTTAAGGATACCTACAGAGATGGAGGGCTGTATGTAGTCTGTTATAAAGATTTAGTGTATTGGTTTCTTTAATAGAATCAGAAAACAATGTTCCATTTTTCAAAATAAACCTGTTCTCTTTAAAGTTGCTCAAGAAACCAGAAAAAGATGAGAAAGAATTGGATAAAAGAGAAAAAGCCAAGAAACTGGACAAAGAGAATCTGAATGATGAAAGAGCCAGTGCGCAGAGCTGCACCCTGCCCAAGCGTTCTGACAGCGAGCCTAAAGATGAGAGGCTGAAGAGGTCAGTCAGTAGGCAGGGCTCTTGGATCTGTTTTACTGCTAGGGGCTAGAATATCCTGAACTCGGACCTGAAGGTTAACTTTTTTACCTTTCTGTTACCTGAAGGGGGAGGAGGCTTTCAAATACTCTTAGTATCTTAATCTTAATCTTGGTAAATGATTTTGTAGTTTTGTTTTCTAAAACACTACTGTTAAAAAAATCAATCAATCACTAGTGTTTTTCACTGTGCTGTAATAGCACCTCATTGCAGTGACCAGGTGAGAGTGACAGCGTTCCTGCATCATGGTTACAACGCATTCACGCCTTTAGTATCATCTGTTTCTCATGCAGATCTGAAGATGAGAGTGGCAGAGACTACAGGGAGAGGGACCGTGACTATGAAAGAGAGCAGGAGCGCATACTCAGAGAGAGAGAGAGACTGAAGCGGCAAGAAGAAGAGCGCCGCAGGCAGAAGGAGCGCTATGAGAAAGAGAAGGCTTATAAAAGAAAAGAGGAAGAAGTTAA